AAATTAAGTATATAAAAATACACTATTAAACATATAAAACGTGCACATTTTCCGACCTATCAAATCTCCCCAAACTTAAACTGTTGCTTGTCCCCAAGCAACTTTGAACTAGAGCACATACATGTATATATACAAGTACGTGGAATATTACTCAGAGCCTCACACATCTCACATAGTGCATAGCTACAACTTCTCAAATTAACAACCCCGAACTCGAAATGAAATCATCTTTAGAACGCCAACAGTCAAATATCAATTCAGTGAATCATCGCAGTTCGCCAATCCCTACACCGAGTATACCAATCATGCAACTAATGATACCCCTTTCTTTGCCAACCGGTTTGGATCCTATTCGCTTCTAGCCAGAAATCAAAAGTCTTATTTTTTTTTTTCATTTTTTTTTGTTAATTTTTTTTTTTGGGAACGGCAGCTCCGTCACAGTCCATGGTATTTAGCTATTCATGCGAGAGTTATGCACTAAAGCTTCACAGACTGGCATCTGTCATCCATTATTATTTTCCTCCACATTCATTATTCACATTACCAATTTTTTTCTTTGAGACAATCAACTCCCAACTTTCCACGTCAAGTCACCTCACACAATCGACATCAAGCAGAATAATCACTAGCACATTTAAAAAATATAAACAGCTCGAGATCAACTCTCCACAAATAAAACACATAAATATCAATCGTAATGTCTTTGTCCCTCAAATAACAACACTTCAAGAATTTAACCAGAAATCATTAACTAAGTCATTATAACTAGCATAATAAATCCAACTCGACACTCACATCATCGTCGCAAAATTCCACATACAAGTAACATATACTCCAACAAATCAAGATAATATATAATATATAACACAACTCAACAACTCAATCACAAATATATCTCGCTCTAATAGGCCTCCCCAAACTTAGAGTTTGCACAAATAAAAGAGCACAAAAAGAGATGAAAGGAAAGAGTTCACCTTATCAAAGAGAGGAAGTCGCGTCGTTCACCATTGGGTTGCCTCTCAACAAGCGCCTTTTTTAGTGTCGTTGGCTCGACTTATTGCTCCGCTTCCTTCAAGCGGTCCATGGCAGCTTCATAGGTGGCCTCAAAGGAGGCATAAACCTTGCAGTTCCATGCTTATTAAGGATCCCCTCGTCCGGTGTCGGGTGCTTGACCGGATCTTTTCGTCTAGGTGGTAGTACATCATAGCAAAAGATTAACCCGGGATCATGGATAAGAGTAAAAATCTCAGGCACTTGAAGGATGTAAGGCTCTTGATTTTCAACATGCTCAGTTGCTGGTTGTTTGAACTCGGATAGAAGAGATTGATTTTCAGTCATTCTCGGGGCAATTTTTGGAGCTTTTACGTCATTTTCACCTTCGCGTGGGCTGTTATCGGGGGCCCCGATAGCAGTAGTAAATGCTACCAGGTTTTTATCGGGGGGGAGGGTAACAGCGAAAATTTGCTCCTCATCGCCTTCTTCTTCATTCTCTTCGTCGCTTCGATCGTCGTTGGGCTCAGAAACATGATTTTCCAGCACCTCAAGCTCCATCTCTCTACTCATCTCAAGGTCTCCGACATCACTTTGGCTCGAGTCGACTTGAGATAATAGCCGACTCTTGGCTCGGGCATCCAATTCGCTCAATAGATCACCAATCGTTTTGCTACTAGCCATCAAAGAATTTTGACACTCTTCCAATAACTTCATGAACGATGGACTAGTCTCTTGTTCAAGCGAAGGTTCTGAAAAATATTGTGAGCCTCCATAGTGGAATTGAGA